ATCCCAAAGATTGAAACTAGACCCATATCTCTCACCACGCACTAAACTAAAAACAAAATGGATCAAAGGTCTAAATAGTAAAGCAGAAACACTAAATATCTTGGAAGACAGAATAAGGAGAACTCTTGAAGACAAAGACTTTATGGACAAAATCCTGATCACACAGGAAATATCACAAAGAATCAACAACTGGGATCTCATCTTATTAAAAAGTTTTTGCACAGCAAGAGAAACCACCAACAGAGTGAAGAGACAACTCACAGTGGAAAAATAGTTTTCCAAGCTGTTCCTCAAACAAAGGACTACTATCTAAACTATATATAGAACTAACCCTCCCCCCATTTAAAGACAGAATGGAAAATGGGCATCTCAAATGAATGGGAACTTCTCAGATGAAGAAATAGAAATGGCAAATAAATTTATGAAAAAATGTTCAACACCACTGGACATTCAAGAGATGCAAATTAAAACAATACTGAGATTCCATCTCACTCCAGAAAGAATGGCTATTATCAAGAAGTCAACCAATAACAAATGCTGGTCGGCCTGTGGGGGAAAAGGAACCCTTCCCTGTACCATCTATTTCCTAATATTTCATCTCACAGAAATAACATTAGTGACAGGTTTTCTCTGTCCATATCTCCCATTGGGACAGCTCTCATTTCCTCAAAAATGAAGACAAAGTAGATTTCTATTTATCAAAATTTAAACACATTTAAACATAAAAACAAATTGAGGCATCTATAACCATAGTAAGTGATTCTTAAAAGGCACAATATGAATTATACCCCCAATGCCTCCCCATTCTCATTCCGATCCCAAATTTTTCAAAGAAAAAATACCCACCAATTAACACAAGATACAGAACACATTAAAGATAAATAGAAAGTTGAGGGTGTAGCTAGCTTAGGATGTGCAAGGCCCTGGGTTCTATTCCCAGCACCTAAAAACAAAACAATACAACATCCATAACCAAAGATAAATGGAGAGTGGGGCTTAAAAATATTTGTAAGATCTGGCCTCTTTTGACAAAAAAAAAACAATATACACGTGCCAGACATGGTGGTACACACCTGTAATCTTGCAAAGAAGCTGAAGTAGGAGGACTGCTATGAGTTCAAGGCCATCCTGAACAACATAGTGAGACCTTGTCTCCAAAACAACTGTAAATAATAAATATTACTGATGTTATATGGTTCTGCAGAAGTAGGTCTTTAAAAATCCTCAGATACATTTATAATCATACACATAAAATACAATATATACATTTTCTCCTAGCAATAATGTACTTTCCATAGAATTATTATCAACAGATGATGAAAGCTTTGAAGATTTTATAAGGTTGATTAGTTAATGGTAACAAAGAACTTGTAAGTAAGGCCTCCAAGAATTTACTGTCAGACCTTTCTCCATACAGTTTCTCTGATGAAAGCAGTAGGCAAATACCAAGAGCTTAGAAAAAAAATAAAGAACACTATTCTAGTTTTTAACTCACTTTCAAGCTTTTATAATTATTCAAAATATTTTGTGTATATATCTTAAAGCACTATTTTACAAAATTAGACTACTGTTATTCAATTAATTGTTCTTGTGATCCATGAATTTATGTTGGTACCTTTTATTACTTAGTATCCGTCCACTGGCAAAAGGAATAGCCTACAAGTAAAAGAAAGTTTCTTCCTGCCTATATACAGACACACTACTGACTACAGAAGTAAATTTGTTAGCATTAATTTCTGACTCTTCAAGCAACCTTTTGAAGGATAAGCAGAATGAAGATCAAGAGTCAGAAATAGGTCATGAAAGTAGAAATAAAATGGCAGGGGGCCAGGGATTTATCTTGGTGGTTTTGGCACCTGCCTCGAAAGCTTAAGGTCCCGAGTTTGTTCCCTGCTACCAAAAAAAAAAAAAAAAACAATGGCAAATACGATGGGCATGGTGGTACAGGCCTGCAATCCCAGCACTCAGGAGGCTAAGCAGGAGGATTGCTTCAAGTCAAGAAGCTGGACAGGACTACATTCAAGGCCAGCCTGAACTACATGAAAAACTGTCTCAAGAACTCCAAAAAAAAAAAAAAAAGTGAATACTAACCAAGAATATTGGCTAATTGTAATAGAAATGGCAGATCAGATGGATGAGGAAAATAAAGTACGATGAAGAGGGTGGTTCATGCACTTGGAATAAGTAAAGAAATATGCATAGATAATGACCTTGAAGGCTCAGTTTAAATGGTTCTCTTTAAACCCACCCTCATTTCCCAGAACAAAATTTTATCCTCTGAAATAACACAGCACTCCTCCTGCAGCCTTCATCAAGCCAAAGCTACTCATGACTTACTTAGCTTAGTGACGCTAATCTTTAAGCAGAGTCCTTGTCGGGTTCGTTTTACTCCCACAGTTCTTACTGACAGGTTGGAGTGGAAGATAGGGAAGGGATGAATGGGGGGAAGGGCTTCAACTTTTTAATTTTCTACTGCACACTTGACATTATGCTAAACAATTTACACGTGTAATCTCATGAGGAACTGAAACAGAGTTTAGTAACTTAGCCAACATCACTCAAACAATAAAGTGATAAAAATCAGGATTTGAACCTAATTCTTCCAAAAGTGGTACTGAGGGCCAGGGATTTAGCTCAGTGGTTCTGCCGCCTGCCTCATAAAAGTGGTACTGAGCTTACTAAGTATTTGCTGGAAAGTTAACCCTGGCAAGGTATTTAGAAAAGGCCGAGGACGGGTGTTTCACAATGGTTCTCAAATAACATGCCTCATTTTTGCATACTATTTCAGGAGGCATGGCCAAAGAACCATGGCAACCAGGGTAAGAAACTAAAACTTACAGTCTTCTAAACCAGCTTTTCCCCATCTAACCACTATTCCTCTTTCCCACAAACCAGAGAAACTGAAAACATGAAAGTTTAGTTGGGAAGACCAAATGCAAACTCCTAATGTTGTACTTTAAAATATCATGCAGAATTTGGATAAGGAGATATTGAAAAATGTAGCCTTTTAAATTTCAGTTACAACCTTTAAACTACATATGATGTAAGCCTAAGAGATGACATTATTGAAAGGAATTTCATCCCCAAGAGAGTGAAAATAGCTGAAAATAAAATTGAATGGAAAATCCCAGGAAGCATACTACTACTTAAGAAGACATTAGTTTATTTCTTACACTTTGGGGAATTTTCCTTGAAAAATGCATTTAGATTTTATGAGCTAAATGTTTTAAATGATGTTTCTGATGTTTTTATTTATATCCTGTATTGTTTCCAAGGGGATCTAAGAGAGCTTATAGGTTTAGAGAAAATATAATGAAATATTGTGAATTACAGAAAAAGAAAAAAGAGATAGACATTAAATAGAACTGGGAATGGTGTTGATTTTAAAATCCAAACTATATAGTGATTAGACCTTCCTCCATCAAACACCACCTCCCTCCATCCTGCTGCGGAAGAAATCCATGGCCTCACACATGCTTGGCAAGTGCTGAGCAATCTGCTACACTCCTAGCCCATTCATCATCTTATCTGATCCTAAACTGACTGTTAAGCAACTATCATCCATATGCCAGATAAGGAAACTGATAAGAACTTGCTAAGAGACTCAGTGTTATTATTCTTTCCATTAGTTTATATTTCAGCAACTGACCATTACAGTTCCTATGCACTAACAAATAATGTCTTTCAGTTTTGACAAGAACATTACACATTTAATACCTGTGGCTGTCATATTTTCATAAGGGAGGGTTTTTTTTAACTGAAATGTAAATAAATTATTTATTTCATTGGCTGAAATTTTTTTAACCAAAACATTTATTGGTACATTTTAGATATACAGTGAGAACCCTCATCATAGGAAATTTGCAACTGTACAAGATATATCCTGCCTCTTTTTTTCCCCACTCCTCCCTTCCCTTAAGCCCCCTCCCCTCCCTAAATACAAAAGCTTTGTTTCCATTTTTTCCTTCTATTTTTATTTTTTTCTTGTCCCTTTTTTCCTCCCCCCTCCCTTGTCCCACTTCCCATTTGAACATTTTCTTCCCATTTCTCAGTATCTATTATACATTTTAGTCCTTATTTCCACTTCCAGTTTCTCACACCAGAGAAACATGGTATTTAAGCATGTCTGTCCAATTTATTTCATCACTTAAGAGTATGGTCTCAAGGCGCAAGCATTTAGTAGAAATGTCTCAACCTTATCCCTCTTTATAGCATTGTATAAAAACACCACATCTTCTTTATAAATTCATTGGTTGATGGGCGTTTGGGCTGTTTCCAAGATTTAGCTATTATAAATTGTGCCACTATAAACATGGATGTGCAAATATCACTCTGGTAAGATGCTTTTAATACTTTCAGGAAGATATCAAGAAGGGGAATAGTTGGGTCAAGTGGAACCTATAGTTTTAGTTTTTTGAGGAATCTCCACACTGATTTCCACAGTGATTGCACCAGTCTGCATTCCCAACAACATTGGAGAAGGGTTCCTTTTTCTCCACAGCCCCTCCACCATTTGTTATTGGTTGATTTCTTGATAACAGCTATTCTTCCTGGAGACGAAATCTCAGCATTGTTTTAATTTGCATCTCTTGAATGACCAGTGATGTTGAACATTTTTTCATATATTTGCTGTTTCTACTTCTTCATCTGAGAAATGTCTATTCATTTCAGGTGCCCATTTTTGGACTGGGTCTTTAAATTGTAGGGGGTCTGAATTTTTTGTTCTTTTTTATATATTCTAGATAGTAGTCGTTTGTATGAGAAATAGCTGACAAAATTTTTTCCCACAGTGTGTTGTCTCTCTCTTCACTCTGTTGGTTTCTCTTACTGTGCAAAAGCTTTTTAATGGAATCCCAGTTGATTCTTTGTGATATTTTCTGTGCAATCAGGTTTTTGTTCATAAACTCTTTGCCTACAACATTTTTGAGAGTTCTACCTATTTTCTCTTCTTAAGAGTTTGTTTTAATATTTAGATCTTTGATCTGTTGAGAGCCATTCTACATAAATTTTGGAAGAAAAATCATTTCATAATTAATGTATGACTATAGCTGTCTAAGGCCCAATGTCACCTTGCCTGTGAGCCATCTATGGAACATGGAAATATAATTCCATTTTGCCTCCATGACAAGTTGATGCTTCAGTGGTCCTGTGATACTGTGATGCTGAAGGGCAAGAGTACATCAGCTGAAGACATCCTAGTTCTTCAAGAACAGAGTAGTAATAAAAAAAAGAGAAAGATTTCACTTGGCAGAAGGACAAATACTTTATTAGCCTGATAACACATCCCACTATTGTGAAAATGCTCTCTTTACCGCCCTCATCAACCTAAGATCCTCATCAACATAGGATTACCACTGCCCCCTAAGTCACCTGATACTCCCTCCAATTATTGTGTGTATCCAATAAATAATGGCTAGCTTGGGAGTCTTTGTCTTTGCCCACACTAAGGCACTGACCTCCCAGCCCGCCCTGTACTTTGAAATTACTCAATTCTCTATTGTCTTTCTTTCTTTAGCCCTTTTCTACGCAGTGGGAAGATTGATCGCCCTCTGATCCTGATCCATTTCAATTTTAGGTTATTGCATGGTGAAAGGTGAGTCTAGTTTCAATCTTTAGCATGTGGAAAGCCAGTTTTTCCAGCACCATTTATTAAAGAGGCTATCTTCCCATGAAGCAGTTTGGCTCCTTTGTCAAAGATAAGGTGACTGAGTATGTTTGAAGTTGTTCCTGCATCTTTTAATCTGTTCCATTGATCATTGGGTGTTTTTTTCTGGGTTTTTGCCAGTACTATGCTGTTTTTATCACAGTAGCTTTGTAATATAGTTTCAAGTTGGGGATTGTGATGTCTCCTGCCTTGCCTTTGTTGCCCAGAATTACCTTTGCTATTGTACACCTCTTCTGGTTCCAAATGAATATTAGGATTGTTTTTTCTAATTCTGTGAGTTATGCTGTTGGAATTTTGATAGGGATCACATTAAATCTGTAACAACATTTTTGGAAGTATGGCCACTTTTCCTATACTGGTTTTCCTACCCAAGAACAATGATATCTTTCCATTTTCTGATATCCTCTTTGATCTCCTTTTTTCAGAGTACTGTAGTTTTCAATGTAGAAGTCTTCTACTTTCTTCATTAGGTTGACTGCTAGGTACTTTTTTTTTTTTCTGGATGCTATCATGAAAGGTGTTCCCTAACTTCTCTCAGTGAATTTGTTATTCATGTACAGGAACGCTATTGATTTTTGAGTGTTAACTCATCTATGCTACTGAATTTGGTTACATTTAGAAATCTTTTGGTGGGGTTTTTGGGGTCTTCTATGAAGAGTATCATGTCATCTGCAAATAATGATAATTTAACTTTTTCCTTTCCTATCCTTATTCCTTTTATTTCTTTTGTCTAATTGCTCTGGCTAATGTTCCAGAACTATATTGTGTAAGAGTGGTGACAGTGGACATACTTTCTTGTTCTTGATTTTAGAATGAAAGGTTTTAGTTTTTGTCTGTTAGTATGATGTTGGCTGTTGGTTTATCATAGATGCTTTTATCAGAGGGAGATAAAACCCATCTATCCTTTTTAAGTAATCAACACTTGTATTTTACAGATAAGTAGAAAAGCACTGAGAGGCCAAATGATTTGTCACAATCATCCAATCAGTGGTAGTATAACCATGTGGTGGATCCAGCAGATAAGATTCCAAATTCTCGTATACAGCAAGCAAAGAACTGCAAAGTGTACACTTACCGGTTAGGGAAAAGTAGCTACATTTATTGAAGGTCAAGAATAGAAAAGTCGAGCAGGTCCCAGGACCCAGAAGGAAGCTCCCCGCCTCCATCCCAGGCTCCTAGGGCACAGAAGCACAACCCCCACCCCCACCCCGCGGAAATGAGAAGACACATAAACAAGCCTCAAAAAACAGACTTCCAGATCACCTACCGCAACTCCAAAGGGAAATGAGATGGAACAATCTGATACTCAACCACCTGGACTCTCTGAACTGGCAACAAAAGAGGATCTGGGAAAAATGAAATCAGAAATAATTAC